GCTCCTGTGCTGCAAGTGGGTATTGGAACCTGCTAGCAGTCATGAATAGTGAGCTACGTGCTTCATAATCCTAAGACCTACATATCACGTATTTGTTGAGGGACACACATGGCAATACTTCGTGACAAAATCCTGTCCTCACTTACATGAAGGGACATCAGTGTGTGTCATGGACTTAAAGCACACACCAGCTAAAGTTGCTTTGGTTTCTCAAATCATTTCCTTTAGGAATCACCCAATGTGATATCACTTGTTCAGTTTGCTCGCAGGTTATCTTGTCTATTTTCCATGTGCTTTTTCTTACTTACGTGCCTGAGTGTCCCTGCTGCTTCCCAGAACACACATTCCCCCCTTCCCCCCCCACTGTTCATCTTCTTGAAACTTTTCCAAATGCTCATCCAAAGGCTATGATTTTTGATTTTGAAATGTCATGGTACTCCATGGGCCTGCAGCTCGCATGTTCCCTGGTCAAACATTCCACTAGCTCTTTGGCTCCATGATTCCCAGTGACAAACTGTGGAACAACTATTATTTTTAAGGATGTATTATATTTGTGTTGTAGAGGATGTTCTGATCTCAGAAAGACGCGCCGACATCAACCTGGCCCACATAAAAGAGCAGGCAATTGAGGTATCTGGATTGCAATTTCTACCAGCTGACATGGTGGGGTTGTAACTACATGCTCCTGGTAGTTTTCAGTTTAAAATGAAAAACGTTTCACTTGTGTGTTTGCACATATTTAAAGAGAAAACTTGAAAACTTCCACACTAGGTAACTTCCACAAAGAGTAAAAAACCCCACCAGTGTAAATGGAAATTGTGTCCAGCTCTACACATGGTTCAACCTCTCCTTTGAATGCTTCTGAACTGTACTGCCTCCATCATCACGTCACCCTTTGGCGATGGGGATCTGGACTAATCTAGATGATGCAGTCGAAGTCAGACTGAAGAAACCTCTTTATTTTGAATGACTCTTTTGAAATTCAATGAATTTCAATTTCTTTCTTCCTTTTTTATTTATTTATTCTTTTTTTTTTTTCTGATCCAGACAGTCACAGAGTTGAGACGGGGAAAATACAGCACACTGCCAAAATCACATAAATTTTAATGGCTTTCCTGTTCACTTAACCCCGCATCAACAGCATGACCTCGCTAGCGTGCACCGTGAACCACCAGGGTGTGGAAGCCAAGAGAAGGGTGGACCTGGCCTTGCTCCAGTGCCTGTTGCACAGAGGAAACCATGGGACATTTTGTGGGATATTTTTGAAAACACTGGGTGTCTTTTTCAAGACACTCGTGCCCTAATTGATATGGAAGCTGTCAATAGATTCGGTGACGGGTCAGCACCCACCTCCAGCAAGGCTATCACACAATCAGCACTTGGGCAGTGAATGTTACTCGAGCTTTATCTAAACTAATCATCTTCAACACACCTTAACATTTTTATAGCCTTCATTTCCAGGCTATTTACGCACCTCTAAATTGTTCTTGTCTTGCAAGGCAGGGAGTCCCAGGCTGGAAGGAAATTCATGAATTGTGGAAGGCTGAAAGAAAAATGTTCTAGCATCACAACATGTAGAAGCATGCATCATTTTGCCCAGGAAGGACAAAAGCTGTGGTCTTCTTTGACCTGTTGTACAACACAGGCCACTTTTAACTTCCCCAAGTCAGTGCATTTTAACTAGAGAACATCTTTTAGAAAACTATTCCAGCTTGACTTTAACATTTCCACTGGTGTAGAAAGTGCCCAACCCTTGGTTGTTTGCTCCAGAGCTTAATTATGCTCCCTGAGAAATAGGCTCACCTGATTTTCAATCTGAATTTGTCCCTATAAAACTTTCAAAGCCTGTTATTTGACTGACTGAAGAGCCTTCATTTTAAAAACTACATTCCCCATGGAGGCAATTAGTGTGGGATTATCTCATTTAACTTTAACCATGCAAAAACGAAGCATCTTGTCTCACCCAGTGTTTGGGGATCTTTCTGTAATCGACTGACAGAAACAGGCACTTCCAGAAGTCACTTCATTGCAGCTATCTCCCTTTGGGATTAGATGCCCGCTGGAGATACCCAACTTCTGCCCTGACTGAATGAGGGTGACAAAGTAGTGAGCCTAGACCATCTCCCTATCGTTTAGAGGGGGAAAGCTGGGCAAAACAAATCCCATGAGTTTGGTCTGTAACCAGCTCACCTCATCAGTTTTCTGGGCAAAACACTGAATTCATTGAGCTCTTCATGATAAATCACCTCTTCCGGTTCCTTGCATGCTCTTGAGGGTCTTCTCCCAATGCTCCTCAGCTTATCAACATTGCTCTTGATCTGGGATTCAGAATAGGACCCTGTACCCCCAAAGGAGTGATACTGATGCCAGTATTAGTCACATATAAACCCACCCCACTCAGACCTGACATTCCCTACTACATATTCAATGAGGCACCATGCTGCACTGGAAGTTTTGTTTTGCTGGTTACCCACCCATAATGAGTTCTAAGTCTTTTAAAAAGTCACATCTATTACAGGAAATGTCCTGTAAGGCCAACTTTGGATGTTTCTAGGCAGAAAACCTTAGAGTTTGGCCAAAACACCTAACTTCTTCCTTTTATCAGTAACACACTAACTGTATTATTGTCTGCTTTCCTAGTGTTTGCGTGGTTTCTAAGTATAATCTATAGTGACTTATCTTTTTTCTTGCAGGACATGGTTAGAAATGCTAAACAGCTTTGGAACAGAACCACTCTCTGCAGGACGCCAATAGAGAAAAACCTGCTCAATGGATTTTACCCATTTACAATTACATATTGAGATGTACCAATTAGCTGTTTTTTAAAATCCATTTGATGTTTGCTGCAATGATTTTGTAGCATTCTCCTTTCTTAATCAAAGTGTCAGGTGATACCAAGTCAAATGCCTTACAGAAATCTAAGTACATTAAATCAGTGCTATTACCTTTCTCAACCAAGCTTGTAATCTCATAAAAATTATATCAAGCCAGTTTGACAAGATCTATTTTCCATAAACCTATGTTGAAAGGCATTAATTATATTACCTTCCTTTAATTCCTTATTAATCAAGTCTCATATCAGCTGTTCCAGTATTTTGCCTAGAATCAGTGTCAGGTTCACAGGCCTATAATTACTCAAGTCATCTTGTTTAACCTTTCTAAATGTTGGCTCTATATAAGCTTTCTTCTAGCCTCCTGGAGCTCCCTGGGGCACCAAGATTTGTTGAAAATCATCATTAATGGTTCAGCATGTTCCTTTGCTGGATCTTTTAAAATCCTTCATTGGTTTCTATAGCCTCTGCTATGACCATACTTCATTGTTGTAGAAAGGTTTGGAAGCTCTACTAGCTACTTACTACATCTTTCCAGTACCCAAATAGCTATGCAAGTCTGGCTGGCAGTGAGTTGCTTAAAGCACTTTAATTGACATTTCTTCACATGAAGAGTGTCTAAATTCATATGAACTCTTGCTGCATAGTCCTGCCTTGAATAAAACCCTTATGACCCCCCCTCAATCTCACAGATAGAGGCAATGACTTCCAAGGAGTGTCACACATACCTAGCACTGTAGCGCAAGCTTGGTCTTACACACACTGCAGCACCCAAACCCCTGTTATTCTGGACCTTTTACCCTTTGAAGGCTTGGAGGTTTCCCTCTGTATGCATCATGGCACAGCTGAGCCTATTCAGGCTACAGATGTACCCCAGCAATCTGACCAGTTCTATTAAGTTTGTAAATACACAACTCTAAGAATTTAATGAAAGAAATTACATGAAAGAAAAGAGACTGGCTTATGTATATATAAAGTACTATCTATCTCAGAGAACAGCAAACATCAGGAAATAAAAGATGTTGCATGGTGCATTAGTTTTGATACTGAAATATTCCAAACATTCAGTTGCGAATACGTTTCCAAAACACTGCAACTTACAAACGGGACACTGCAACATTATCAGTAGTGGCTATTGAACTATTCTGATAAAAGAATTGGTGTTTTGGTGTGACTCATGTATAAATACCATCACAGAAGTGCATCTTCTTGTCATTTTTAAATGCCCTTGTCTAAGTCCAGATTTTCTGCTATTGATTTGTTTTGCGGATGCCCAAGCAGACCATCTTCAGACAGACTGAAGAACAGGTATCCCTGTGTTCCCTTTCCTGATGAACTAGCAGCCTCTGCGTGGCAGGCAGAAGGGGTGTTTTTAATTGTAACTGTGCACGCCTAATTTAACTTTGCCGGTAATTTAGCTAAGTTGTGCAAGTAGTAAAATGCATGGACAATTTTCCACACAAACGTTTTCTCAGGTACTTGATGCTATCCCAATCCTCTGAGTGTTCATTCTACAGATGAAGCCCTCCAAGTTTTTGTTTCTGTTGGGTTTGGTATTTTGTTCGGGTATCCTTGAGATTAGTTAATGAATTAATTATTTTCTAAATTGTCCTGTGCCAAAGCAGCGCGTCGGCAGGAGGCATGAAGGTAGGCTTGTTTGAGAAGCCCACTGAAATAAGCAGTCAGTTCAGGTGTCTTTGTGTGTATAGAACCATAGAACCACAGAATGGTTTGGGTCGGAAAGGACCTTAAGATCGCTTAGTTTCATCCCCCTGCCATGGCAGGGACACCTTCCACTAGAGCAGGTTGCTCCAAGCCCCTGTGTCCAACCTGGCCTTGAACACTGCCAGGGATGGGGCAGCCACAGCTTCTCTGGGCACCCTGTGCCAGCGCCTCAGCACCCTCACAGGGAAGAGCTTCTGCCTTAGATCTAACCTGGACTTCCTCTGTTTGTATATGTTTGATTATACAAACATATATAGCTAGATAGAAATAGAAATATCTCTGCATATATGTGTGTGTGTAGAATATAGTAGTGTGTGTACAATATAGTAGTGTATGTAGAATACAGAACTAGTCTGTTGCTAGTATTAGTATTTAGTTAGAGATAAAGAAAATCACCCCAAATTTAGAAGGGTAGAACTACCACAAAAAATTAACACATTTTTCTTTAAACTGACGAGTATTTTAATATTAAATCTTTCCAGGTGGAACATTTTTTGTATTGTAAATGTGTGTTAAGTGAAAGAGAATGACACTAAAAGCCTTATACTGTTAGAGTCAAAAAAAAAGAGGCATCCTCTTAATCTAGTGTCACAGATGCAGCTGCTTCACTGCAAAAGATGCAGCAGAAAGAATCATTATCAAGACTGGAAACAAAAATGCCTTGATGTATGGGCCTTCTTGCTTCTGTACTACAGGTTAGCTCACATGAAGACGAGCAGGAGTGGATTAATGAATAATCTACCTGGGATAAATCTGAGACTCCTATATAAACTAATGCAGTGAAATTAAAACTGGAAGTGCAAATGGCTTACTTATCACATATTTAACTTATGGAACAGTCACTGTTGAAGGATGTGATTGAGAAAAATAACCAAGGAGATGGCTAAAAAGGCACTAATGGGAGTAATAATGGCATGAGGTGAATTACCACTGGCAGTTACAGAAACTTATACAAATACCTCAATATTATAAATTAGGGAATTTTTCCTTGGTCTCTGTATTTGGCAGTTTACCTTTTTCCCAGGGCTGTTCGTAACATCATTGGAGGCAAAATATCTAACTAGATAAACTATGGACTCATCAAAATGGTTTTCCATGAGATTAATTTCCACTGTTTGCCCATTTTTTTGCTAGAAGTACGGTGACTTCACACATAATTGTTAGCCAAGATAAAGCTATGCAGTAATAACACTCCCCTTATTGAAAGAGCATTGTTAACAGCATTGGAGCAGTCAGCTCCAGGCAGCAGGTCATCCTGGGAAGCAGTTGGTACCTTGAGCTAAACCAGCCAGCACTCCAATGTTGGCACTTTCTCATTTACAAACTGCATCAGTCACAAATGGAAGTTGCCTTTTCAAAAGCTTTTGGGTTTTTTTCAGCAATTCACACGTGTGGAATAACAGTCACAAATCATAAATGTCACACCTTTGTCGCCAGGATTGGAAGAAATCTGCAGGGTTCCTGTTTGCACACAGCTCCCAGTAGTTGCACCTCCTGCAAGTCACATCAAAAACACTTGAAAAGAGTTTGATTTTGGCAGCTGCTGTGAAGGCAAAACTTCCTTTCAACTCTTGCCATCCCAGTTTGGGGAAGGCTCTGCTTCTTCTGCACAGAGGTCTTGGCTTCCATCCTCCTGCATCCCCATCTTTGAAACCTAACAGGTACATGGAATGTTAGAGATCAGTGGGTGTTTTTTCCAAGGCAAGCAGGTCCCTTTATTGATTTCCACTAACTGTTAGTACCTTGTGACATACAGGCAAAGTTTGCCTTTTCCCACACATGCCTCAGAATAATGACATGTCAAATTAAAATGCATTTGCCTTTTGTCAAGTGCAACCATTTTTATATATATATATACAAATTTAATGTGTTTTAGGGCTCAAGAGAAGAGCCATGTTGGCAGCCCAGGCGAGAGAAGTTTTCCTCAGCTCCACAAGCCCACTACATTCAGACTGTTCCAAGAGGAGCTCCTCCATGTGGTCCCATACCTGTCCCCAGCACAGTGGGGAGAGCAGGGACTCAGAGACCACCACTGCAGACCAAATCACGCATGTCCTTCCTCTAAGTCTAGGACAGAGTCTGAAGAGCAAGGGGCTCAAGGAGCTGTGCAGAGCACCCTGCCACAGAGGCTGGGTGCTGTCACCCACCAAGCATCCCTTCACTGAGATGCAGGCAGAAGGAGCTGGGTGAACTACAGTAGCCTTGATGGGAATCTCAAAGAAACCAGTGCTGGGGAAATGTCCCAAGACATGGGAGTTTCCCCACCCCCAAATCCCCACTTCTCTGCAGGTTGTATATTCCTCCTCCTAAAGCAAACAAAGAGCTAAAGGAAACAAATTGACCTCTGGTTTCCTCCTCTGCTATTTTCCTTCTGTCCTTCAGGCTGGCACTGCTCAGCCTCCACATTCAAGCAGTACGCGTCTCCTCTAGAGCACATTTAAGGAGCACAGACACGATCATTTAAGAGCACACTTTACTTATCTATCCTTAAGAACACAAAATAGACCCAGAAAAAAAAGTGTCTCTACGCTCATTAAAACGCTTTCAGCCCAGGGCAAGGATTTGATCAAAAGGATTCCTGCCAATGGAAGGGCATGCTGGAGCCATTGTAAGAAGTTGTGTGCAGGTGTCTGCCTTCCTTTCCTTTTCTTTCTTGTGCCCTGTCCCTTCCACTGCCACCTCCAATCTCTTTTCTTCCAGCTGGGGGAACAGAAGAGGTTTTACTTCCTTGATGACAATTGTGTCCTTTGAGCAGCCAAAGCAAAAGGCACTTTGAGTTCAAATGAGACTGTGACTTAAACCAATATTAGCCAAGACCAACACATGTTTATTGTAATATAAGTAATCTTCGTTCTGATCAGCAGGTTTTCCTCACCCCACTGCAGTTTTACTCATTGCCTCTTTCATTCTTCCAAAATGAATAAATGAAATAGCTGCCCATTTTTCTTCACAGCAGTGGGTTTCAGAACTTCAAATCAGAGAGGCGTTTTGATTTTAGAAATAAACTCCAGAGGAAACAGTTTCAACCAGAACTTTCATATACTTTTTTTTTACCAGTTTAAGGTAACATCAAAACTCACCTTTCCAAAAAAATGAAACCTCACAGCATTCTTTTAATCCAAATTAAATAAAGTGTCATCCCTGTGTCCTCTTCCTTCATATTTAGAGGGAAAGAAAACTATCCTGCCCATACTTTAATGGTTTTGTCTGCAAATCCTAAATGCTCCACTGCTGCAAATTTCAAATGATCTTATACAACCAAAGTCTCTTTGGTGTCAGCAGCCACCCAGGTAGCAACACAACCATGAGAATGCTGCTGATCAGAACAATGAATGCCTGATCTACAGATGTCATATCAAGGTAGAAATCTTGATGAGCATTGTAGTGACATTACAAAGTGGATTACACATGCTGTATCTGGGTCAGAGAAGGAGTTATTTCAGTACGGTCAACAAAGTACTTCTGACCAAACTTATTTTTTTACATTATGAGAGATACGCTTTTGTTTGTTACTTCGTGTTGCAGCTAATAACAATATTCTCTCCATATTCATCACCAGTTTGCAAGCAAAGTTAAAAGGAAGGCAAAATACCCCCATGCCTGGGGTTATGCAATCTCAGAGGCAGGTCCCATCTCCCTGCCCTGCTTTCCTTTGTGACCAAGGAGCCCAGCACTGCCACCCAGTCTCCCATTTAAGTGTTTAATAGCACTTCAGAGAAGTTTCTGAGACACATTCCTGAAGTGTACAGCCCTCAGGCTCTCCCTGCCTTATTCTCCAGCCACCAATATGATGCAATTAGGACTTTCTTGCTTTCTGGGTGTGTTGGATCTCAATGAAACAAATATCACAAGGTTATAAGGTCCTCAGATACTCCAGCCCAGGGGTAGTGCAAGTGCCTAAACATTAAATGTTGGATGTGTGAGTCTCTACGTGCCAAAGATGTCACTGTATTGCACAAAACATGCCTCACCTTCAACCTTCTTTCCCAGGAATAGACAACGGGCCAAAGGCCTTATCTGCATGGCAGACAGGAGATGAAGTTGTCCTGTCCAGGGATTGCAGCATTTCAAACCTGTTGACTTACAGTACTGTGTGTAGGAGTTAGGGATACTTGTGAGACTTCTTCTGGCTGTACCAACTTCTCTTCTTGTCTTAATTTTTTTTAATTTTTTTATTTTTTACAAGATTTAATGCAAACCAAATATAGTTCTTGACAGCTGGTATCCTGTGTTTCCAAAAGCAGGATGCTCCTGGGATGCTGACAGACACAAACAAAATAGGAAAGGCTGCCCATCCCTGCCAGCTGTGCTGGGGCTCCCAATGCCAGCAGCTGCACAGCATCCACCATGCACCCCAAGCCTCCTGGATCCCCAGCCCTCCTGCAGACAAGAGCCTGGATCTTGTGCCTAGCCATTGGTAAGGCTTGGGCAAGGTGAGCTGTGCACGCTAAAAACTTTATAGCAAGGTTGTCGAAGAACGATATCCTTGTGTTGGAAAGAGACTCTACAGGGCATGCTGGAGCTCCCTTAGTCCTTACCCAAACCACAGGCTACAGATGTAACCTACAGACATACTAGAATCATAGAATCAACTGGGTGTGAAAAGTCCTTTAAGACCAAGTCCAACCATTCCCCAGCACTGTCAAGGCCACCACTACCCCATGGCAGGGACGGTGACTGCAGCCCTGCCCTGGGCAGCCTGTTCCAATGCCTGAGCACCCCCTGGGGCAGGAATTGTTCCTCAGCTCCATCTAAACCTGCCCTGGGGCAGCTTGAGGCCGTTTCCTCTTGTCCCATCCCTTGTTCCTTGGGAGCAGAGCCCAGCCCCTCCTGGCTCCATCCTCCTGTCAGGCACTTGTAGGGAGCCATCAGGTCCCCCCTGAGCCTTCTCTTCTCCAGACTGAACCCCCCAGGTCCCTCAGCCATTCCCCATCACACTTGTGCTCCGGGCCCTGCACCAGCTCCATTGCCCTTCTCTGGCCCCACTCCAGCACCCCAATGTCCCTCTTGGAGTGAGGGGCCCAGAGCTGAACACAGGATTCAAGGTGCAGCCTCACCAGTGCCCAGTGCAGGGAGACAATCACTTCCCTAAATCCTAGGAATCACATCAGATAATCTAATAGCTAATATTTCACCATTAAGGGCCTTGAAACTTACTCCCAGTTTCAAACCCTGGGAGAAAGCTAGTTTCATGCTCAAATACTACTTTTAGTGAGCTCAGATGTATTTACTTTCATACAGGTTATCTGCACCTCACTAGCTAGCCTAAAACAGCAGAGGCTTAAACTGAAGCATTAATAGCAGCTCTGAATACCTTAAACCTAAAAGTAGATATATGTGCTTATGTATCTATCAATACTGAGAAAGAGTGTTTTGCTTATCCAACCTATTATCGACCTAATCCAATTGTGTTCTTTCTGCTTATTTATTGGGGGGGTGAATACAGGGTTACTTCTACTCACTTGAAGCGCTGGGAATCCTGACACCACAAATCTGCACGTTTCTGTAAGGGTGAAAAATGGAAACCAGATCCATAACTGAAAGCTGTAATGATCAAAATCAACCTTTCCTGAGAAATGCAGCATGAAAAAATAAATCAGCAAGTTAAGAAAAACTGTTCAAGAGCTTAAATAATTGAAAGCACAATTGTTTCTTTTGCCAGTTGCTATCATACATATCAAAACCTGTGTAATCCTATAGTGGTAGTAAGAAGCCTACACTGTGTTTATTTCTTGGTGATGATGACAGTATACGTTATTCCAGAGCAGTGGTACATGTATCAGAAGCACCTGACTTGCAAGGGTATGATCCAACACCCAAGGAGCACAACCTAGATTATCCCATTGACTTCTATAGCATTCCTCCAAGATAATACCCTCCTGCTGCTCCATTGCTTTCTTTAATGGATAATTCTGAGCTCACATCTGTGTTTTAGAACATTGCTGGTGGTACTTAAAGAATGAGTTTATTTGCTTTTATTACTGTGTATGGTTCATATTCTACGAATATGCCACAATCCAAAGTTTAAGTTTGATGTTATATAATCAACCTATTTAAGAAGAGAAACTAAAGCCATGTTCTAATAAAGCTTTACCACATATATAAATAATGGGCACAATGTTTCCCTTAGGAAGATAAGCTGTCTTCAAAGCAATTCCATGTTTAAGGCTTTAGATTTTGCCAGCACTTGCACAAGGTTGCAACAAACCTTGACTTATTTACAGAGAGATGTTAAGTGGAGATAAAGCCACTTAATAATCCACCAGTTCTTGCTAAATACATTTTTCTTCCATGCCCTTTCTGAAAGCAGGCAGGAATGCACACTATCCTTAGATTACTTGAGCTAAAGCTTTTACAGAATGGTTCAATTAATGATGCTTATGGGTTGTCTGAACAAAGTAATCCTGAAAGTATTTAGGGTTAAAAACAACCCCCAAAAAATCTCTTAGGCATTTCTTTGAAAATAATGATGCAGTGACAACAGCAAAAGGGAACACCAACAGCATAAACAGAGCAAAGATCTGTTTTGCTATGGTTTGGTGCCTCATTCAAGAGCTCAATTCATTCAGGACCAGGTGCCCTCTGCAACAGAAACTTCTGATTTCTTGAGCTTGTGTCAGATTTGCAGCAGCACCAACAGCAAACAACTGCCCC